CCCTTAAGCCCCCCCTTCGTCGAAGGTCTGGGGCCCAGCCCCGCAAGCACGGTCCCGCCGTCAGTAACTTGCTTGGAGGTTTTTTATTTAACAAAGATGGCTCAGACTTCGGCTATGCAACCGGTAGAACCGCGAGAAGAGAGGTTTTTTGTAGTTGTTTTTGGTCAATGAGAAGTGTACTTTTGGCATGCTTGATTGCGTCGTCCTTTTCTGATAAGGCTTGACAAAGCTTCCAAACAGTTTCGAAGTGTTGAAATTCGTAGCAAGCAATTTTCGCCACGTATGGCGCAGCGTTGGACAATTGTGATTTGGCTCTTTTATTGCACAATTTGCCTGCGGTTTGCACTACCAAAAACAACAGTGCTGATACCGTCGCTTTCGACTTCCTGCACAGTTTGCAGTTGCTTCCCGGAGTGTTGTGTGTGACATGAAGCCAGAGCGTGGATAGATTCAGTGGTCATGATTTTTCTACACTTGTGCACGGATATTGTGGTATTGTCGTGCTAAACCGGAACATGATGCAAAGCTTTTTCAACGGCTTATGCAGTGGCACATCGTCGAACATAACACATGCTGCAACGTCACACACTGCTTGTATTCTGGGAAGTTTGACATGTTTCGGTCATGGCGAGCGCGGGCAGTGTGTGTCGTGACCGTTTTTTCGGTCTTGGCCTGAGTCAGTGGACCCCAAGGCCAGCCAAGTTTTCATCCTTCAAGCTTAGTGGCTCAGTTGGTGTTGAATACTAGGCCATCCTCCTGTCCTCCTAAAAGACTCGGATTGGAAGAGTATTGTTGTCTTTTGGTGGCAGAGCAAGCCGACCCAAGGTCGTTCTGGAAATTGGTGGGGTGCCACCAGGCTTTTGAGTCGAGTGAAAGGTTATACTTGAGAACGACGCGTACGTCGAGAGGACATCTGCGTGGTCCTGGCGACAGCTGGATATTGCCAAGACATTCGTTTGAGCGTACATTGCCGTGGCATGATGATGACGAGACATGGCATCACACTCAGACTGCTCCTCCACACAACAGTCTTTCCATCATATTTGCTGTGCGAGGTTGCTCAGTGCCGCAAGCATGTCTATGCAGGACTTTGGGCAGACACAGCCGATGTCATGGTTCCTTTCGTATGTCGCATTCCTTAATTTGCTGTTCAACTGCAGGACCGAGTGCTTCTGATGCCTGCAATTGCAAACAGACATGCGTTCCTGTGGAACAAGAAGGCCCGAAGCCCAACGCATGAGCATGTGCCTCAGACCCGGACACATCAAGCTTGGATGACTCGTTGTGGCTTTCCACATTCAACTGGGAACAGTGCAGAATTGTGTCTCGAAGAATCTCGAAGAGGAGGGGTGGACTGTGGGAGTGAGCTTAGTTCGGGTCATGTGCCGGCCAACATGTAGCAGTTTGAATCCTGATGTGCGCAATGTTTGCACATATGAAGTGTGGTGCGCATGCAGGTGATTCAATCTACAGACTTTGAAGTTGTCTTCGCAATTTCTGGCAGCCTCCCGCGAAACACGCAACAGGACGAGAAAGTTCTTGCAATCTCAAGTCAACTTGCCTGCCTAGCTGATTACTTGTCTAACGTGGAGGATGGAAGTCTGGCTTTCTGGATGGGCACGGAGGATTGCACAAAGAGTTTCAACGAGAAGGCTGGGCGGGCAAGCAATGGCAAGTATGCTTGCAGTCGAATGTGGTCTCTGAAAGGCACTGGTGGAGAAGGTGCTGCGTGATAGGAACATGGATTGGTGTTTCATCGGCAGACTGAAGGGTGGATGTCTTGTGGTTTGAGGAGTGTTTGCGTCCCGGGCACCCGCCAAGAAGCTGAGGAAAGCGGGTTTGAAAGAGCTTGGATACTCTGACAACGGCTACAAGTCTGGTCTTCAGTGCATTCAGTGCCAAAGTGGAGTGCATTTGGCATTTCATTGGTGGCTTGTTGCAAGCCCAGGCCAGACTTCAAGGGAATTGCCGTCGTCTTCCTCCCGTTTGACCAGGATCGGAAACTCAGGCCCAATGGCCCAATTCCGTTCAAGGTGTTAGGTCAGGATGTAGTCTCGTCATGGTGGAAGGCAGACGGTGGCTGCCGTGTTCTCGGATGGGACTCGGCCCATTCCAACGCCTCTGGAAGATGTACTGAAGGAAGCGGAAGCTGCTCAAGCTGAACTCACCTGACCTTTCGCACATTCGGCAGGACTCCAGGGCAACGGTTGTGACTAGCGACTGGCTGCCGGACAAGAACACGGCATCTACTCAGGCTCAGTCCTGCCTTTCCCACGTGACAAATGCACAGGCTGTGCATGTAGACCTGGATGTTCGCAGAGTCTCATTGCCTGTCGCACCGGAAAGGTGAAGGTACCTCGCCCGGAGATCTTGCTATCTTCTGAACGAGTCGGTTGCTTTCGTAAGTCGGCCGAAGAGTTGCTGGAGTCAAGCAGAGGTCAGGGTGCATGCTGATGGCAGCATCGTCGTGAGCAAGCGGCAGGCAGCCAGCTACTAAGAACCGAGCCTGGCATGTAGATGCTGCACAAAGCGAGCACTCACGAAGAGAAATTAGGGTATGGCTCATCTTGCGGGAGCTGTGTGGTCCTGGGCTCCAGATGGTCAGGAGGCCTGCACCTCAGCCTCTCAGCATCAGCACCAAGCCTGCCACGGATACCGAGAATCGCACACAAGGTTTCGCTTCAGGGATTGTGCGATTTTTTCTTTATCCTGTGCTTTTCGGCATGCAAAGATCATGGGAACGCTCGAGCGTGTCGAAGCTGCGGTCTTGATGGTCTCAGCTCTGAACCAACGATAAGATCCAAAGAATCAGACTACATCAGCATGTACCGGCACCAATCCATTGAGGAGCTTCAGGTTTGCAGCAATCAAAGCCGAGAGAGTCAAGACGACAAGTAAGCGATCAGACAGACAGACAGACACCGAGACAGACACATGCCTCACTACACAGACACCGACCCACCACTCACATCTACCCCCGCACACACCCATCATCCACCTGTGTGCGTGTCCGACAACAAACTCGAAGGGTGCAATCTTTTCTTTGCCAGAGCTGGACAATGAGGTGAAAGGAACCTTTGTCCTTCAGCCTGACAATACGCTGAGTTGGAAGGCAGTGCACCATGCTCCCACCAAAGCTCGTGCTCTCTGCTCCACGAACCACAGGGTCATCCCAACTCTGGACGATGGAACGTGCTCCCAGGCAAGGCTGCGAATACGTGCATGTGACATGTGTTTGAAATCTTGCTGGCAAGGTGGAAAACTCAACATAACCCTATTCGAAGCTAACTTCGTTCTGCGTCTCGAAGGCTTCGGGAGGGAATCAGCACAGAATCACAGAACGTGTACTGATACTGGCAGAGCTCGAAGGTAACCGGGCGGTGCAAGAGCTCCCCGACTTTCCCGTCCGAGCAGGGACCACAGCTTCAAGCTTCACTGTCAAGGGATGGTCCCTGCTCCCTGCTGGCTGTGAGACTAGAACTAGAGGCGGCAGATCCCCACATATTTGGACTATACTTACAAGTTGATGGTAGCACCTCCGTTCTCAGCACTTGGGCATGTCAGAACTGCTGCATGAGGCAATAGCTTATCTTGGTGGGCAGGCACAGAATGCGGCGTGCACTGTACTGAACCTGGGCACATGTGCGCTGTCCCGACATCACGTCCAGGAAGTCGAGGACGAGCCATGGCAAAAGCTTGCGAGCTTCCCTGCAAAGACCCTCGCAGTGCTGCGTCTCATCATCAGAATCTGTGCCTGTGTGAGTGAAGAGGCTCTATCGGCTCCATCACTAGAAAAACGTATCAGGTGCCCGTGCCGAACATGTTCTATGGCTTCACAGGCGGAGCTGACCTTCTGCAACACGTGTGGATTCACGGCATTGCTTCTCAGCCTCAGTCTGGACCTGTAGCAGGTTACAGCGGCACCAAGTTCGGTATGGAGGCGGAGTTGGGCATCAGTCCTCCCAGGTCCTAGGCCGACTGGACCGGAGGTGAACCTGAACTACTTGGGCACCTTCAACCATGATCCGCACGTGGTCGGAGAGGAGTGGCGAGATAGTGGGGGGCGTGTCTGGAAATCCGACACGCTGCCGTGTAGAGGACGGCTTCAGCATTGCCCAGTCACAGCAGTGGAAAGAGGCCCACCATTCGGAAAATCTTTGGTGGTTGTGAGCAGTATGGTGCAGCTCGCTGACTTTGCTTTAGGCCCTGGCCGATGAAGCTCGGTTTATCGATCGGGTCTCGCAGCGTGAGGCAAAGCAGAGATCTTCAGTACCATTATGTACCATTACAATAATGGCGGCTTCACAAACGTGTGGGGAAAGCTGGTGGTCCTGTTGGCGGCCGTGGTACAGGCCATCGAGCGCTTGACTAAGCTCCTTGGCGACCACGTTGTCTTGGGCTCAGTTGTTTCGCAGAGGTCAGCCATGGAAAAAACCGTGTGAATCGCGGAAGATCGAATGGGACTGCAGTGCTATTCCCGTCTAAGGCCGAAGAAGGAGCCCTGGAGGAAGCGATCAGGTCTGACCTGGTGACTTTGGATGGTCGTCTTTCACCCAGCGGGACAGATCTCTCTTCCAGCCGAATCCCGGCTACCCCAGCCCTTCTCCGCTGGGCTCCTTTTGACCCTCATATGTCCATTGACCCCGCGGAAGCTCTTCTTTTCGCTGGAATCGCTAGAGGCCTGGAGCACCTGAGTGCGGACGTCGGCACCTACTTGGCAGCAACCGAGGCCAGCAGCGGCGACGAGAGTCTCTCACGTCGGTGTACTCGCAGGATCTCCGCAGCTTGACCCATCGGCTCAGGAAGGTATGCCCGGGGGTATCAGGGGCTGCTGGATGCTGGAACTGTTCTGGCATGGTTGGTGCCGAAGCATCCTGCTAATTCTTTCCGAGTCGTCTACCTCATGCTCTTGATTGGGAGAAATGCCACCTGCTGACTCTCAAACACCGGCTGTGGAACTGAACGAGTCCGAGAAGAAGGTTTGGCCGCTTCGATGAGAGCTTTAACACGGATTTGCATGACTCGGCATGCGCCATGAGACTGAAGCGTGATGGTGATGATGATGATCGTCATCATCATCAGTCATCATCATCGTCATCGTCATCGTCATCGTCATCGTCAGCATTATCATCATCATCATCATCATCATCATCATCATCGTCGTCATGAGCGTTGTCAACATCGCTATCGTCATGACACCGTCATCACCGAGAGAGAAAGGCTGATACTGTCTGCACAAATTGCTATGGCCACGTTGTAGATCACCCATGCATGCTTCCCTGTGCACCCAAGGCGAGAGAAACTGGCATGGGAGAAGAGGCTGGATGATCAGACAGAACACCAGATGGCCCGAGAAGGCCAACCAATCTTGCTGCTGTGAGCATTCTGGATCTGGTTTCATGTTGTTTTGCAGCGGCTTATAAGCATGTCCCTGCAAGGCTTGTTCTATGATGATGCAAGGTTAAGAGGACTCAGTGATGACGACAGGCCATTGATTGCACGGGCATACTGATGCTCTAAGTAGTCTTGGGCTGTCGCAGATTTTGGATTACTCGTCGTCTCAGACAGTTTCTTTGTGGTTGTTTGGGCTAGAACGGCAGACGTTTCGCGAAATCACAGACAGTATGCTACATCTTGTTTCTGTGACAGGATGTGGGAGATAATCAAGATGAGCTTCCTGCAAGTTGCCAGTGTGTTAGAAAGCTGCCTGTCAGCACATTAGTTGAGTGATGCTTGTATGACACACAGGCTCCACACATTCTTGCACTGTTTTCCTGTATAGCTGCAGCTGTTGATTCAAGAGGGATTGCAGAGCAGACAATCAAGCACTGATGCTCTTATCTTCGCGCTGACTGTTTCCGAATGTTGTTGGTGCCGTTTGGGGAAGTTGTCGAAGCGGTAGGTGCGACTGCGTAATTCTTTGATGGCGTGGCATGCACCAGCAGGTGCGGCCAAAGCATCAGGAAGACACGAAGCGGATCGAAAAGGTGCAGTAACGTCAGTAAAGCATCGTTAAAAATGTTTTCCAAGACCGGCCGATTGCAGCAACAGAATCCAGCTTGAAATTAGTTCGTGGCTGCTGGCTAGTCACGACTATTGAAAAGGCTTACAGTCTTGTGCCAGCACCAATCGTAGGACAGGCTTCCATGCTCTCGACCCTTTGATCAGTCGACCTTCATGCCCCGTACACAAAGGGACTTTGACCTGGGCTCTTTGCTGTGCTTCTGCAGCGCTTCTGAAGAAGCTGAGGCATTGGCCTGTTGCACTATTTCGAGTACTTCCTGCAGCGCGGCATTCTCGGGGCAAAGCATATGCGATTGCTCACGCTGCCACCTGTCTCAACTGCGATTGCAAGGCCGAGCATAATGCTGTGCTGCGCCTTTTGAGCCATTAGATTCTAGGTATTCCTTTGGCACTCATGCTGCGTCCTTGGCAGTACTTAAAGGATCTTAGAGGCACAGAAACCACGTCCATACTGGGTTCATGCAAGCTAGAACCTGAAATCTTTCTTTGATCCATGGGATCGGCCTTAAGAACTGAGACCACGCAGGATCCAGTTTGCATGAGACTCATTTTGCGGGAAGCATCTTCTCGTATTTTCCTTAGATTTCGTCCCATCTGCAAATGCAAAGGCAGTATGTGCAGACGAAGATGCCAAGAATTACGGACCCAGATGATCAAGAGGCCATTGTGGATGCGGCCGCGAGGTGCATGCAGAGTGAGGATCCTGACCTGCCTGTGGCAGAGTGGCTTGTGCCGGCAGTGTGTGCAACACAGTGTCAACTGCTGTTTTCAGGACATGCGGCTCTTTGAAGCGAGGTACGGTGATGTCGACAGGCTACCCGGCTGCACAGGGCAGGGCCTCCTTGCGGTGAATCCTCGTACAAACTCCGAGCACGTTTACAAAGCAGTGCGTGGCCACATGTTCGTTTGCGCATTGAATATTAGGCAGCGTATGCTTGTAATCTTTGTGGGGTGAGGTACTAGTTTGACAAGCCTTGCTACATACCAGCTGTGGAAAAAGACAAGACAAGGGGGAGCGTCACGAGCATCAAGCGGAGCAAGTGCTTGTCACTGTTGGTTGTCTGGCTGCCGGTCACGAGGAGATCACGGCGTGAGCGGGATTGGGCGAGAGTACCATGTTTTTGCGTGCATGCCATACGAAGCTCCAGTAGTTCTAGATGTTTAGGAGCACATCGCACTTGAGGCATTTATTTCATCTGTCAAGGACGTTGCTATGACAAACAATATCGCCTTATGTCATCTCTCTCATTCGCTGAACCCTGTCCGGAGCTCCGCTTTGTGGATGGGGGTGAGGGATCCAAGTTTGTGCGGGTGCTCGAGCGTCTCTGTGGCCTCACGGCCTCACTTCATCTCAGCTGTTTTGCTGTTTGGCTTTGGTGGTCCTAGCTTCTCGCAAATTACCTGGAACCGAAAGATGACGTGCGGCTCGCTCGAGACACTGCGATAGGGGAGGGAGCGTGGCATGCCTGTTGCTGCAGTAGGCATGCGCGCAAACTTATTTGCAGGTCCAGAGGCAACAAATCAATCAGATGTTCATTCTGTTTTGCAGTGCCAAAGCCCGGAAGTCGTCGTTCCCATTTCTGGGTTCAGGCTGGTTCTGGACTGCCAGCATGCTCGCCGTTTCCTGTCAGAGAAGACGATTCATGACACCTGGTCGAGACATTTCCTCCACATGTTTGCATGACGTCGGGAAGGTAGCCATGACCACTGGAAGCATAGCAGTGAATTGAGTACGTCAAGGAACAGTGGTATCTGGATCAGTATGATCTGACGAGTCCGTTACATGAGGACACAAACAGCTGCCGCCTCATTTGCTCTCGGCTCTGTTGCCATGTCTCGGTGTATTCTGCGTCTGCCCAGTTATGTGAACAAGGCTATCACTCGAAATGGCACGTACCAGGGCCGGATCTCGAGTTGTGGGAGGCGCTGGGCACCCATGCTGCTCGGCAAGGCAGAGGCAGCACCGAGCAGCAGCACGGCATCGCAAGTGGCAGTTTCAGCGATTGAAGCAGATCAGGCCGATTGGGTGGCAGCCACGGGCTGTGACGGTTTTCTTTTTCTTTGGCCAGTCCTTCCCGGAAATCGAGTTCCACCGGTTGTAAGGCCAGGTTTGGCAAAGGTAAGCCGTTGCGAGGTGGATGGTGGTGCATGTGAAAGTTCTGTTCCGACCCGAATCCTTCCTGTTGTTTCCCAGACATTCCGACGTCCAGGTGCAAGCAGGTCCACTCCATGCCATGCACTGACTTCGCCGTCGATTGGTGACTGAATTGCACAGACACCGCGAAGTGCTGGGATCGGGTTTCGGGGACAGCAAGACAATGGAGAATAAGGCAGAAGATGCAGTTTTTGACGTGTGGTGTTGACGGCAAGATCGCGGTGTACACTGTGCATGAGGCAGACCCAGCCGGGGCTGGGGCATTTAGCTCCATTTAGCTCATGGGGTAAGGGAAGTGCAGCATGCCGAGAGTTACTGTGAGAGATCCTGCATGTTCTGGCGGTGCAGGATCCGAAGAGGGAGCTCTTACACTCGTTTAAAGACAAAACTGCAGAACAAGGCTTTCTGTGCATTGCCTTTGAGCAGCAATCTGGCAATCAGCTATGTTTCACTTACATGTTGAGATGGATGTCTGATCGTTTGTTGTGGATTGATGTGAATTGCGAGGCGTCAGTGGTATGTGTCTTATCTTGTTCGCATGCGAAGCCCCGTAGCTTTCCGAGCCCCCAGTATCCTCCACTTCCAGTACTCGACTAGTTTGATCCCACCCAGGATGCGGCGCTTGAAGATGGCAAAGCAGCTGTTGGAACAAACTTTGGTTCCATCAAGATTGTGGATGTGCAGAAGCAAGCATTTGTTTCGTGGCTCGGCCGGGGTGAAGTCCGCAAGTCAGGGTTAGTTGAACTTAGTTGCCCGCTTAGATCTCTGCCTGGCCATCAAGATCACTGCAAGGCCTGTTTGACTCACGATTTCCGAGCAGTGTTGTGGCTAGCAAGTGCAAAAGCAGAAGAGACTGGCTGTTGGGCCTAGCTTGCAGCTTGCTGCCAGCTCAGCATGCAGGGTCTTCGTGTGGACTGGGAAGAGAACCTGGCAGTATCCTGCTCGTGGGACAGCTTCGTGCATTGGTATGTGCTTTGCCGTCAATAACTCTTATGGGAATCGGATGCAGGTGCATGGTCGGTCTGTCTTTGCTTCCGCAGCCTTTTTTCTTGACTTCAAGCCGTCGCCAGTCTTTGTTCACGTGAGGATTTGAGATCAGCAAAGCTCATTCACAAATTCGTTGGGCACAATGCCAACTGTGCCTTGGCAGAGATGGTCTGGAGGTCCTTGCGAAGGTACGGGCACAGCCCTGCCTCAGAACGTGCCGTTTCTTTAAGTGCAGTTGGCTCATGATATCTCACAGTTGTGTTGCATGAGGCTGCATGGCTG